CGTGAGGGGAAGGCGCTGAATAAACGCGGCTGCGTTACGGATTCGTTTTCCGTTCAATAGCGGTATTCCATACATACCTCTTCTTAAACAAACACCTTTGAAGTTCTGCCTGGTTTTTTTTCACACTAAGACATCTTGTTCCAGCTTCTGAAATGGATGGCTTGTCTTCACCAGCTACCAGCCTTCCCTGAATGGCCCCGTACACCCCTTCTTCCTTCAGAAGCCGACAGCTGTGTGATCACACGTTGCCAGCCTACGTTGTCACGCAGCGCCGTCACAGCGGGGTAACCTCCTTTTCTTCCTCGCCACGAACGCGGGTTGTGGCTGCTGACCCAGACAGGGTCGAGTAGAGCCCGGAACAGTTTGTGCAGGAGGTGAACTGCCCTACTCTGTGTGGGCCCCAAGGCCAGCGTGTTCCCATCTCTGTTCCAGAGCTGGTGTTTTTAAAGTACGTACATACCTACAGACATACACAAATAGACTTAACTTCAACCCAAAAGTATTCTTTAAAGTAATTCTGTATCATTGTCCCAAAATACTTGGCAGTGTTAGGACTCCTGAGCATCGCGAGAAGATTAAAGTAGCAAAATCAAGACGATGGACAAGGCAGCAGGCAAAGTAACGTGGAAGGGGCTGTGGAGAAGGAAGCTGAGGGAAGACCACAGAAAAACTATAGACTCAGTGAAGAAAAAATGAGGACAAGGAGGATCGGATCAGGCAACAGAGGAGTGGGAAAACATCAGATGGGAGAGTGCACTTGGAGGCGGTGGCAAAGCAGAGGCAGCTAAAGGCCGAGCTGTGTTGAAGGACAGCAAGCAACAGACAATTTGGAAGGAGCACAAATTCAGTGTCTGGCAAAAAGCAGACCCAAAAAAGTGACAGTACTTTAGCGAGTCCAAAAATGTTGTTCAAATGAGAATTCTTTGCTAAAAAAAAAGTGAATGACACTTAGTGTAATCAGAGTAGACATCGCTCCGGAAACGGGACAAAAGTAAAAAGAGTCAGTACAAAGGAAAAGAACAGCTGCAGGAAATGTCCTTTAAAGAATACGGAGTCACTGGAAATAGGAAACTGATGCCGACTGTGATTTGTACAGGTTAGGAAACTGTTGTCACGGTCCTTGCAGCGAATGCAGTCCGACCAGTGGCAAGACAGAGACTGTAAGGCGTAAGTAGGAAACACAGGCTGTTTCCCATAACCTTTATCAGATACGAAGCGGGAACTTTAGTGGGAGAGCTTTAATTTTGTTGAAAGGAGATGGTGCGGGAAAGCAAGATGAAAAGGTATTTTGTCAACCTTGGCTTAAGAAAACATGCCAGAGGGAAGTAGACGGCAGAGAACAAGCTGTAACAAGAACTTGTAAGAGCAAGGCTAGCAAGGGAAGAAATAGCACCGAGGAAACTTCCAAAACACCATTAATGCACACCTGAGAGGTGAGTGCTCAGCCTCCACGTGCAGAAAAGAAGAGCAAACATCACTAAGAGTGACATTTAACTGCCATGGTGAAAGCCAGGCTGACAGTAATGAGAAGACGAAGGAAAGAGGAAAAGTGCCTGGCTAGACTTTTCTCCCCAGAGAAAAGCGAGGCTGTACCAGTGCAGATCTGAGTCTCAATTCCCAGAATTATTTTGAGAGAAATTAGCATGGTTCAGGAAAACTCAAAAAAAAAAAAAAAAAAAAAAAAAAAGCAGATGTTCACATCAGATGGAAACACTAATGGCTGTCAGCAAAAGGTCAGTTACTCTGGTCAATGCTGTACTGCAAACACAAGAATATTCTAACTGCAGCTTCCACTTTGAAATTTGTTTTATTCGCATTTCTTCTCGGTAGATGTTTTGTTAACAACGTTCAGTATCTTTAGAAATCAAAATACATTGCAAACTTGCAGCACACATCCAGAAACGAGACGGGTTGCATTTCACCCACCGAAGTGATGAAAATTTCATCAGAAATGGAGCATTCTTTGGTTAAATAAGAACAGCAGTTCAAACTAGCTGTACTTAAATCCTGTGCATGCATTATGTTTGCACAAATTAGCAAAAAGTGAGAACCCAAGTTTAGAACTTTGTCTTCCTTTTTTCAGCAAGTTTACAGACATGACTAAGTGCATCTCTTAAATCTTGCAAAACTACAGTTAAAGTTTTAAATAATACACATTGCACAACAAGCTTTTTGGGGGAAGCTACAGAAGTAACAAAAATACAGAACACGAGGAAATAAATTACACATCAGCTAGTTGAAATGCTTAATAAATTAATAAGGGCTTATCAAGACCTTTTATAAAAACGCTTATTTGATCTAATAATTAAAGCACAACAAATAAATAGGATTTTTGCTATTGACTTGAACTGAAGCACGATCAGACCCTTTACAGCCTCAAGGAACTATGATTTTATTATGATATGTCAGTAACACCCTTTGGGTGAAAAACCCTTTGGGTTCTCTGCTTTAACAAACGTCACTTACCACGTGATGACCAATATCACTCGAGACATTTGTTAGTTTAAACAAAAATTGGAACTAGTATGTAATCAATAATGTAAAACCCAATTAAGCAAACTACCATCTCCTCCCCTTTTTTCACTCCAGAAAATTCCATTCACAACCTGCAGGTCGTATTTCTGATGAGTTTCTACAGACTTCCCAGGACTTTTATGGTAGCTATTCCTTGGGAGAAGAAAGCATGAAATGAGAACAGGTGATTTAAGACGGCATTTCTTCATGAAGCCCCTTTTGTCACTTTACATGCCATCACCATTTCATGTTCTGAGGTTCTGTCTAGAGCCTCATGGCAAGTCCATATAGAAAAGCTTCTTGGTGAATGTATCACTTTACAATACAGAAGCTACTCCGATTAATCCAGGTGTGCAGGGAGACAGCCTATAGCAAGTAGGGTATTGTAAATTCAAACCCTTTTCTCACTTCTTAAACAGTTAAACTGTTCAGTTGAACATCGTTGATGCAATCCCTTACTGCTTTAAGGCAAGAGCGTTAACAAGTTAATGGATAGGACATAGGACCATGTCACTGTTACCAGGCTGTCTAAGGATGTACGTGAAATTGAGAGTATAGTAACAGCAGCATTTCTAAAATTCTTCCTCCCTTCTTCAGCTTGTTTAAACACGAAGCTTGCACACCGGATTCACCTAATCTGTGTGCGTGTCTATGTTTAGGGGCCGGGGCAGAGGACAGGCAGTTCACATTTCGCCTTGAATAGAAGTGAACTGGGATAATGAAACATGTAATTAAAGTTGCACAGAAATGTTAGGCCTGTGCAGATTCCCTTACGGGGTCTACTGCTCTGCCTGTTGAACTCGGATTTAAAAGTCCCTTTAATCTTAATGGACAAAGTATCAAATCCATAGTGGACAAAGCTCTCCGTGGCAAAATGATATGAATCGAGGAGGATTTCACTTGATGGTATTCTATGGATCTGTACAGGATGGGATGTTTTGCTTCAGTACTACACAGTGCAAGAGTTGGGGGCAAACTCAAATGGGAAAATGCTGCTCATCTGCCAAGGATTAAAAAAAAAAATGGAAATGGATTCGGGCAGGACGCTTCCTCTTTCTGCATAATCACCTCTGCAAAAGATCAGCACTGCTAACAGAGTCTCTGGCAATGAGACAAGAAAAAAAAAAAAGCTTACAAAATGCCTAAAAAAGTTTTTTCCCCCCCATTTGTCTTTGATTCTTATGGAGTATCAGGAATGGTAGTGATGCCCGGAG